ACGTCACAGATGTGACAACGAGAGTTCGCTACCTCGTCGACACTTGCGCAAAACTTAGCGTTGTCCCAGCGAATTCTAACGACCGGCTTCACGAAAAGACTCTAAACTTACAGGCGACAAACGGAAAGCCTATCGGCACGTATGGCAGAAGGTACGTTCACCTTAACGTGGGTTTACGCAAACCCATTCACTGGATTTTCGTTCTTGCAGATGTTTCTATGCCAATCATTGGTATAGACCTTCTACAACACCATAATCTAATCATAGACACGCGCAAACGGGGACAGAAACACTAATTTATCCGTTTGCGTAACTTCTTTTTCTGGTGGCAGATTATCCCCAGTCACAATTAAGCATACGATAGACCCACTTTATCAACCACTATTCGATAAGTATCCTGAGATTCACCAAACGCAACCGAAATTACCGTGTGTAACCAGCAATGGTACGCATCACATCACAACTACAGGACCACCTGTATTTTCTAAAGCACAAACTAGCCCCCGAAAAGCTAAGGTTGGCGAAAAACGAGTTCGGCCACATGACATACTTAGGTATCATAGGACCGTCAAACAGCCCATGGGCACCTCCGTTGCACATGGTCCCTGAAAAGAACAGCAACGATTGGCGTTCAACGGGTGATTATAGGCGATTGAATGCGAAAACCATTCCCGATCGTTACCCGTTGCCCCACATTCACGACTTGACAGCTACCTTGAAAGGTACAACTGTCTTTTCGAAAATCGACTTGGTTAAAGCGTATAACCAAATTCCCATGGCCACTGACGACATTCCGAAAACAGCTATTATAACTCCTTTGAACTTTACGAATTTTTGCGAATGCCCTTCGGTCTAAGAAATGATGCACAAACCTTCTAATGGTTTATAGACGACGTTTTTCGAGGTCTCAACTTCTTACATGCTTATGTTGACGACTCCTTGATAGCAATTCCGGACAGAGAATCCCATCTCCAGCATCTGGACATTGTTTTCGATCGACTACAAAACTATGGCATTACTGTAAACACTCAGAAATGCCAAATCGGACCTGACTCATTAGACTTCCTGGGACACGCTATAGGTGCGCAAAGCATTTGACCCCTTAGAAAAAAGTGGCGGCCGTTCTGGATTACCGAGAAACGACCACGATCAAGCAATTACGAACGTCTAACGGCCTTGTAAGTTTCTATAGACGATTCATACCGAAATGCGAGTTACTCATGAAACCTCTTATCGGCCAACTTCGTGGAAATGCGAAATCCATCAATCTGGACGACACCGCGCAAAAAACATTCTCCACAGTTAAGTAACTTACCTCTAAACTAACAATGCTTGCACATCAGGACACTCAAGCACCCATTAGTATTGCGGTACATACATCCGACTCAGCAATCGGAGGAGTCTCACAACGATGGGTTAACCACTCCTGGCAACCTTTGGCATTTTTATCTAGACGGTTGTTAGACACCGTATTGAGGTATAGCATATTCGGTAGGAAACTCCCAACTATTTATTGCGCTGTACGGCATTTTCAACACTCTATCGAAGGCCGAGAATTCACTGACCATAAACCGTTTACCTTTTCTTTAAACTATTCTTCAGACGAGTACTCGCCTCGTGAGTCTCGATAACTAGACTACATTTCGCAGTTTACTTCAGACATCCGACACATTTCTGGAGCAAATAATGTAGTCGCAGACGCCTTGTCTCGAATAACTTCCTCGAACAGTTTCCAAGGAATCAACCTTCTGAAACTCGCACAGCTTCAAAAGGAAGACACTGATATTCGGCACGAGTTATCGTCTACAGCCCTCAAACTACGCATCAAACAGATGGGAGCAGGTAAGGAAACCTTACTTTGTGACACATCTACAGGTAGGGGTCGCCCAATCGTGCCGAAACATTATCGACCCAACGTCTTCAACACGTTGCACAAACTTTCTCATCCAGGTGTTCGTGCAACCATCAAGCTTATAGCAGGACGGTTTTGCCGGCCTGGTATGAATAAAGACGTGAGGGAGTGGGCACGCTCCTGTGTAAGCTGCCAAAAATCTAAGTTATTAGACACAACAAATGTCCCTTAGGCTCTCTCAAAACTCCCGATGCTCGTTTCGACCATGTTCATCTGCATTTGGTAGGACCTTTACCAGATTCAAATGGATACTCTTATCTCTTAACCTGCGTAGACCGTTTCACTCGATGGCCAGAAGCAGTACCTATCAAGGACATCACTGATGAAAAAGTGGCCGGCGCCTTCGTCGAACGATGGGTAGCAAACTTCGGCTGCCCTTCAACTATCACTACAGATCGTGAACGCCAGTTCGAATCTGGACTTTTCTGTTGTCTGACTACACTATTAGTAATCACACTATTCCGAACGACCGCCTACCACCCACAAGCAAACGGGTTGGTAGAACGCTTTCATCGACAACTAAAAGCTTCACTATCAGCTGCAAACGTTTCACAGTGGACTAACGCTCTTACACTCGTCTTACTAGGTATTCGCAATGCAGCGAAAGCTGACATTGGATACACTGCGGCTCAACTAACTTGTGGAACGACACTTTGACTTCCGGGAGAATTCGTGTGTCCTTCATCCTCTTCAATGAATATGGATCTAACCTCCTACACGAACAGGCTTACAAATGCAATGCGTCCGGTTAAACCTATTTCCACTCGACCACAATCAACTGATGTTTTCGTTAAACCTGACTTACGATATAGTACACACGTCTTCGTACGTCGAGACTCACATCGACGACCTCTCGAATCAGCATACGAAGGACTCTTGAAAGTTGTTCAACGCGAACCCAAGTACTACGTAGTCGGTAAGAACGGAACCAAAGATAGCATCAGCATCGATTGCCTCAAAGCAGCGTATTTAGAAGGAAACCCTATCCACGTCGATTTTTCTTTGGTACAATCGAACGACACGACTCCGATACTTATAATACCTCATCGGATAACCAACACTCACGATGATACTTTGGAAGTATCTGAAAATAGACCCAAAACAACGAGTTCTGGAAGAACAGTAAGATTTTCAGAGTATTTACACGATTATTGCAAGTAAGACACTAACTATCATTCTGTCTTGTTTCGATTTTGCTTTGTAATATATATAATTAAAAATGAAACCGATTTTATTATGCTGATACATATATTCCGGAGAACAAAATTTGTCCGCTAATAGGCGTATTAATACCTCATCTGATAACCAATACTCACGATGATACTTTGGCAGTATCTGAAAATAGACCCAAAACAATGCGTTCTGGATGAAAAGTAAGATTTCTAGAACACGATCATTGCACGTGAGACAATAGTTAACTTTTTGCTTCATCTCGATTTGCGTGGCATTATATATAATATTAAACAAAATAATTTTCATATGCTAATATTTATATATATTTATTATTTTGCTAATATGTATATTAAAAGTTTTTTAAAAAACAGAACAAATAAACATTTTGTAAAATTCGCTTTTACGTTATCTACCTTTTTCCGCACATTTTGTGTCTTAAAGCGCGTACGAGTTTATTTCGACATGCACTTACATATTCTTTTTTTCCTTTCCAGGACGGCTGGAAAAGGTGATAAAATGAACGATGCGGTTTACGGGGAACCAAAAATTTTCATTGTACATCACTTTTTCACTATATTGTATTTCATAGGCCCTTATAGTAATAAAAGACGACCAGACGCTGCTAAACCTAGCAAGCTATCAGCGGAGTGTTTATCAACGACAAAACTCGTTGAGTTTAAACTATTGGCTGGCCACGTCTTAGGGCCATCACTACCCCACTAGTGGGGGGCGTGATCTGAAGCGGTAAATAAATACCTCTGTAGGTTTTCGACATTGGATGCTGACCACATGTTTTAATGGACTCACCTAGCTGAAGGCGCTCGGTCATGCATCCGCACCAGATCACGAGTGGGAACGCCGTGCTCAACATCTACTGCAATCGCTAGCCAGATTAGATCAGTCGATCTTCGATATATTGATAGCCTATCAAATATATCTTCGAACCTCCTCGCTTCTGTCTTTTGATTTCACTTGGTGGGTACGCTTCATATTGAGAGGTATTACTGTTTAAAGCGTTGTCGAACTCCGAATACCTGTATCATCTTCAGACGTAAAAACGAGGATTGACAAATCAAGGGCCGCATTCCCACAATTAAAGAGCAAATGGAGCTGTAAACAACTGTCAACCAATATCAACGTCCGAATCTCCAATATGAAGGTCAAGGCAGTCCTACTGTACAGAACTGAAACGTGGAAACTACTACAACCATCCTCAAAAAACTACAATATTTTACGAATACTTGTCTACGCAAGATACTCAACACTAATTGGCCGGATACCATCAACAACTGCCTTCTGTGGGAGAGGAAAAACTTGGAATCCTGAAGGGAAGTGAAAAATAGGAAGTCAAAAGAACACTGCGTCGATAGGTGGAAGCAGACGTGAAAAAAATGAACAACAGCTGGAAAGAACGGGAAAGGGTTGCATAGGACAGGGTTGAATGAAAAGTGCTGTTGAGCGGCTTATTTTCTTTCACGATAATTAACAGGTACGTAGGGAAGCAAGTTAACCACTGAACCAACCAGGAAAACGAGCCCTTAAACGAAGGATTTAAGAAGTGCTGCCATTGTGATTTTAGAAAGCGGCCAACTTCATTATGCTTGACAGATAATAGGTTGCTCCAATAACAGGTTTTATATGATTCCTGGATTGGACATCGCTGCAGTCTAGGCATCTTTGGTACATTTGTAGTCACATAAAATTTCTAGCGCTTGAAAATTGCTATATTTACGACATAATAATTTTGCAACGAATTAGATATGGCCATACCAAAATCATGCTAGGACGAATAACGTCGCGATTGTCATTACAACTACAGTGAAATCGCCTCCACAATTCTAAGGAACAGGATATAATTTTCGAGGTGGCCAGTCACATTGTGACTAGAAAGTGTTTATTTAATTAATTACAAACACTTGAATTAAACCACTATTTCAAAGTTGTTAAGTGTAGCGGTAATTCAATGGTTTACTGTTTGCAAAGATGGTTCTACATGTCATTGAGTTATAATTCCTTTACTGGTTAAGTAAAGTTTATTTGAATCACTACTGGCCTCTCTCTCTCAAATATTATTTTAAAGTACCAGTTGACTCGTCGCAAGGATATAACTTACTGGACATTACGATTACTCAATATCATAACTGAGTATTATGTCTAATTTCGAAGCAGACAAGTTATCACTCCGAGAAGGTAACGTAAAATCATTTGCAAACTTTTCTTAGATGGTTGTACTTCCGTGGAAATAAATCAGAGTACACCTGCTACAGAAAAGTTAAGTAAACTTCCTCTCTCACGTGTTAAAATAATAGTAAAAACGGTGCCATCTGTTTCTCTAGTTACTTCTGAGGCACTGGCTTCAATTGGGTTTCTATGTGAGCAGTTTATACAAGATTTTTGTCGTAGTGTTATTGCAGTAACTGCACAAGAAGGCAAGAAAACCATTACCAAACAACATGTTCAGAGTACTGTTCAATCAACCCAGAAGTTCGAGTTCCTTGATGGGATTATCGAGTGACTTGTATTCGCAGGAGGTTACTGCGTTATATCTATTATGTCAAACATCCTCATAACCATCAAAGCATCATAAGACTTTCTGTCTATTTTGTACAATAATATTGAAATACAACTGATACCTGTTAATAACGTGATAAGTCTAATCTAGTCAAACGGGTAGTGGTTACTAGATCGTACAGTGAAGTAACGGGCGGTCGAATTAATATGCTTTCTTAGGAGCTGAAGTGGTTTGTAGTGTTTGCCTAGGTTGATTTGTAACTTGAGGTTGAGAAAGACCTATGCTGAATCATCAAGGCGACACGCCAACCCTATATGTTGATTAGTACTCACAAAGTTCGTAAGAACTCGAGTGACTGTAACAAACTATGTGTAACGTACTGCAACTCCTGGGAACTGGTGTATCCATATACTAAAAATGAAGGGATATCTCAGTGCTAGTCAATGTGGTGTGAATAAATCCACTCCTTCTGCAAATAATTTGTTGCTCTTCATACCCAAGTTCTTAATTTTCACATCAGTTGTTTACATAGCTGTTGTACATCGAGGCAACTTTAGGTAACGTACATTGAGTTTGTGAGACAACCCAGTGATCCGTGACTAGTTATACAAAAGTGAGGGTCTGTTCGTCGAATCTTAGTATAAACTAATAAGCATGTGTCTCAAGTAGATAAGTGTTTAAACGTTAACCTATTTAACAATTGAAAGCTTATACTCCAGGTAGTCACTATCAAAACCAGTTGTTGCACACTTGCTACTTCAAATCGAAACCTCGAGGTGAATCAACTCATGTCACCAAACACTACAACTGTTCATCATTTAACCCTATGGAGCTGCACCAATTATGTCATGATTGGACAAAGTTCTGCTTATCACATTCGCTTAAGAAAGTCATAATTGTAATATTGGTGATCAAATTTGGTAGTCATAAATACCAAGTGTATTACGATAAATAGGGGACTAAACTCCGAAAGGAAACCTTTATTATTAAAATTGATACCTATGTCTAATTAACCACACGACTGTAGCCTGTGAATACATGTAGTTTCTCACTAAATTGTGTCAACTAAAACATTGCTCATAGCGACACGACTGAGAATCGTTAAGTTGTTTCATTTTGTCGTAATTAAAAGCAAATCATAATATCCATCACTCCAAAATCTTTGTGGCTTTAGATTTCCTAAGTTTCTAACAACAATGGCTTGAAAATATTCCTCTCCAATATCAATGGTTAGTGACTGGCCTAGGGTGTTAATTAATTCAAAGATCGCAGTGTAACATCAAAAGATTATTCATAGAAATCTGATGGCCAAAGTGAAATCAGACAGACGCCTGTTACTTTTAGATGCCATTTTGCGTTAGCTGCCGAATTTTCATTTGTTAGTTCACTAGTTTTGTAAAACTCTAAAATGTATATGAAACCTTATTCTTAAACAGTAAAATGAATATTTTAGTTATGTGCAAAATAAAACGATTTCTACCCGCGTCAACACCTGAAGAGTCCGAATGGCGTTCACAAACCCCATTAGTCGTAAGAGTGTAATTCAAAGACTAGAATTAGTTAGTTTCATAAAAAAAATAGGTCGTGATGAAAAAATTAAGGGGAAACACTTGAGTTGTTACAGCAGTAGACCTGTAATGAAACTGATAGTAATGAATCATGTCAACGGTGATATAAATTTCTACGTGGATTTAATCTGAAAATGAATTGTCTTCAGAGTCAATCTCACCGCATAGTGGGTAGTTTTCAGGTTTCGGTTCATCTTTAACTTTTGAAAGTTCGGGATTTCTGGATTTCTTGAAAAATCGCCATAAAATGTATGAAAGAATGGATGATATGTAGATCATGTTCATAAGGAATGAAACGACAGATATGCAAATTATGAAAGAAACCTGTGGATAGTAGTACAGAATGTTTTGAAATCCGTTAAGCGCCGTCTGTATTTTAAGCTCCAAAGCTGACCATAAGTAGCGTTTAGATTCCATAATGATACGACCTTCCAAAATTGGTTGAGTCTAAAACGTTAATCAGTTACAACTAAACAGATATTTGCACTCATGTTAACATAAAATAATGTAACGAAAAGATTATTTCTAACTTGATGAAATACCAATCAGCTAAGCGTAGGTTGCATAAAAAAATACGGAATAATTTATGACAAACTAATACAAATTATGAGTTTGCCATGGCAGTGGCAAGTCGACAACTGTCGCAATCTGAACAAATTCAGTTTCTGATAGCTACTGCTTTGGCGATCCGTTAAGCAGTTGCTCTCTTTTCCCTGCAAATTATTTAGAAGAGTTGGTGAGGGTCATCAATATACCCATCATCGACCAGATGTTGGCTAATCGCACTGTTTACGGATGTGGAGTAGTTTAGGTTTAGCCCCCAAATGCCCTGGTACGGCCGAGAGTGTAGAGAGTTTGCTTTTCCTCTCGAAATGCTCTCACATGGCCACGCGTATATAGCCTCTGCCAGGGAAGTCTCACTCACTGCTTTCTCGTGACGGGGGTGTTTACGAAAATGAGAGGACGAAATGCGAATGTCCGGCGCTTTAACCGGATTCCAATCCAATGGTGCATATGGGCTCCAGTATCCTGCGGGAACAAATGGCGTATGAACCAATCGTTGGTCACCGGCTTCCATGGGGCTGCATCTCCTCACGACGTTCCACTGCCTTGTGGATCAGACCTTCGGGGAGCGGCCCCCTAAGAAAACCACCTGCTTCGGTCTGGACACCCGGGCAGTATCACAGCCCTCACACATATCGAATGGGATTTGTGTGGTGCATATGTATTTGGTGCCTCCTTGTACCAATATCTATGTGTTAAAATGAAGGTTTAAGTTTTCTAGGTGATCGTAAACGTAACTATAGACCCTTCTCTTTATCCTTCTAATACTTGTCCTTTAGCCGTTGCATAGGCAGTCTTAAATGTGGTATTTATTCTGAGATCAGCTGGTTCAACAGTCTCATCCTTATTGAAGACAAGGTGAGGGCAGCAAATTTAATTTACAACCGTATCCCACTTGACACGTTCGTCCTAGAATGCTTATTAATGAATTTCTGTGCGCATTTATACGTAAATATTTTTAACGATTACGATCTTTTCTTACAGTCTTTCCTTAGAAGAAAGCGATTAGTACAACCCGTCTTACAAAAACTTTTAGTTTGGATCCCACTCTTCAGATCTCGGAAGTCAACTAGCTCCAAGTGCGAAGCTACAAATATATATTTATCGCGGAAACATAACTTTAGGTTCATCTGTTTTTATGCAATCTTTGCTTAGCTTATTGCTCTTTCATTCATTTGAAAATTATCTTTCACTAGCTCGACTCGTGAACTTATGCTGATATCCACTGTTAATTAAATTTTCTAACTAGTATTTATTGTTATCTTTCTAAACAAATAAGGTTGTAAGCTACTGATAAGAACCCACCAAATAAAAGTAAATTTCTATTATTTTGCGTCGATTGTTTTTTTTGTTTTATCCAGAAAATCTAAACGTGTTTAGAGTTTATTCGCGACCCACATAACTCGACATTAGAAGCTTTGAAGCAAAATGTCTAGATTTATAATTTAGAACTAGTGATGCCCAGTAAATGAAGTGACTGTCAAGTTTTTCTACTGCAAGCCGACAGTCTAAATTTCTGTTAATAATTTCACAGTTATCAAGTCGTCCCGACCGAAGCTGCTACCTTGACGCGGTGGTCGGGCTTGCCTATCGTGATGACCCAACCGAGCTATATTGGCTGGAACATATGTTCCTGTAGGTTCTACCATGCCAGGCAGATCGATTCGAGAACGGTAAGACAAAGCAGCAACTCAAGGTCTGAGGGCGAAGTCGTACTGCTGACTGTAGAGGAGTGTGACAGCAGTAAGGTGTTTCCCTCGGACAACCAGCATCTGCAGCGATGCTGCCTTCTCACAAGGAAGGAAGGGGTTAGAAAAGATCGACTCTAAAATGTCACACCTCAACTTACCTCACCTCGCACCGGTAGGGCAAACGATTCGAGTACGCGGAACGCTATTCCTGGTCTCCTGAAACCACGCTCTAAACTACACGTTGGTGCTTTTAACGTTCGAACACTGTGCCACATAGGACAACAGACTTCCTTAGCTAGGACATTAGAATCTCGCACCATCGAAGTGTGCTGCATCTCCAAAACGTGCATACAGGATCCGAGTAGCGTCATTCATTTGACCTCACCATGTCGAAATAAAGAACCAACACGATTCACATTTCATGTATCTGGAAGCCCTGATGCTACTTCTCGTGACCCCGTCGGTGTAGGTATAGCATTGAGTCCTAGGGCAGAAGTAGCTCTTAGAGTGGATCCCAGTAGACAGTCGTTTGTGCGCTGTCCGACTCAACGGAACAGTAAGGACTCCGAAAGATAGGGACACTTGTCGCTGCCTCTTCGTCGTCTCTGCCTATTCTCCCACTGACTGCAGCGCAGATGATGTAAAAGATGAGTTTTACAGAAAGCTCTCCGAAAAGCTAGGCGCTCTGATGTAGTAATATTGGCCGGTGACTTTAATGCTCAATTAGGTAAACTAAGCGATAGGAAAAGACACCTGTGTGGATTTTATAGCATCGTGGCTAAAAGAACAGATAATGGTGACCGTCGGTTGCAGCTATGCTCAGATAACCGTCTGTTTCTTGCAAATACTAACTTTAAGCATAAGGAAAAACATCTTTTAACATGGCGACCCCCTAATTCGTCTCAACGTTGGACCCAAATAGATCACATCGCTATCAGTCACCGATGGAGGGGCTCAATAGAAGACTGTCGCTCATTCTGAAGCACATGCTTAGATTCAGATCATGCTCTAGTACGAGCGCGTATTTGCCTGCGTCTTACTGGACGTTAGAAAGACGCTGCAAGGAAACCTCTTAGGGGCCTACTTAATGATAGTTAAGCTAAGAGTATATTTCAGGAACAACTAGGAAAACAGTTAGGCAGCCATGTATGTGATGCCCACCCCGAGGCAGCATGGAATGATATCCGAAAAGCTGTGGAAACAGCATTGATATCTGCTAGTAAGGTAAACCACAAGGTTAGAGAGAAACACTGGATCTCAACAGCATCTGTCGCACTGATAGATGCTCGGAAACTTATTCCACCTGGCTCTGAACATAACGAAGAGCGGAGTCAGCTTAAGCGCAAGCTGACAAGAAGTTTACGCAATGACCGTGAACAGTGGTGGGTAGCGAAAGCAAGAGAGATGGAAAAGGCAGCGACAATAGGTAATAGCAGACAATTGTTCAGACTTGCTAAGGAAACCGACTGTTAGCGAAACACTCTCAGAGAAAGATGGACACATTATACATTCTCAATCCCGGAGATTGGATCGATGGGCAGAACACTTCAGGGATCAGTTCAACTGGCCTTCAGCCACAATTCGGTTTCCCACGATCTCCAGTCAACCTGGATGGCAAGTTAATGTAGGTCCTCCGTCGCTTTACGAAGTTGAAAATGCCATAGGAAATCTAAAATGAGGGAGAGCAGCAGGTCCTGGCAGGTTTACTCCTGAGATTTTTAAGGATGGTGGTTCAGTATTAGCAGTGAAATTAACTGAGGTTTTAGGTAGAATTTGGGAACTGGACGTAATCCCATCTGACTGGTCTCAATCACTGATTGTGCCAGTTCATAAGAAAGGACAAATCAGTTTGACAAATATAGTGTCTAAAATATTAGCTTCAATAATACTTCGACGCCTAACCAAAGCTCGTGAAGAACAGACTAGGTAAAATCAGGCTTGTTTTCGACCTGGACGTGGTTGTATAGACCAGATATCACACTACGTCAGGTTCTAGAACACAGACACACATTTAGACGCCCCACAATCGCAGTATTTCTCGACCTTAAGGCGGCATTCGACTCTGTTGATCGTAAGGTTCTATGGCAGTGTTTGTCACTGAAAGGAGTACCGAAGAAGTACATTAACCTTATTCAGGCTCTCTACTCGAACACAACTGGTAGAGTGAGAGCTTGTGGCGAACTGTCATCAGAATTGATTACCTCAAGTGGTGTTCGTCAGGGCTGTCTACTCTCTTCATTCTTGTTCAACTTTGTCGTCGACGTACTTTTAGAGATAACTTTCCTCATCAAAATTTACAGGGGTTGAACTTGTACCGGGAGGTTCACTTGTTGACATAGAATATGCTGATGAGAGTTTTTTTGGAGTTGGAGCCAAATATCTCCTTAATGCTTGGATCTCAATGCTAACGGATTCTATTCAATGCAAACCCATTATTGCTTGTCGAAGTGATTCCTAAAAGCTACTTTTTTAATTACGTTGTATGCAAGCGACTAGTTTTCCAAAAAGACTAAGAAATTATTGTAACACTAGTAATTTCAATTTTTTGTAACACAGTGGGACCTATATAGTAACAAGCAAGGTGAATGATTTGAGTGCGCATCACTTATTTCCCAGGTTTATTTTAAGGCGGGAGCTTCTTGGGAAGCTACATTGGCAGGAAAAATTATGGCTTTGAAATTTTAAACCGTTAGCATCAATTTAAAAAATAATTAGGTATACAGTAATAAACTGACCGCATCGAACTGGAAATTAGATGACATCTCAATTGAAAGCAGCAGTTCTTCTTTCATTCTACCGATTATATACAGGGGGGCAAACAGTATATTACTTATCATCCGAACTTCATTAGATCGATAAGGCATTGAAAACTACAAAAAGAAGCAACATTTCCACAAAACAGTAAACAATAAAAGGAATGTGGTGAACTATCTACTAAGAACAGAAAGATAGTTCTGGAGATTAGTGTGGGTTAGCGCCTTCAGCTAGTAGACCAGTAAGAAATAAGAATCTCTGGGTCGCGGTTATATCCTAGTTTGATACCATCAGGAGAGAGCACTTACGACTCCTCTAGGGATCGAGCTTAGAACCTTCATGTTTAGCAGCAGACATACATATCGATCTCGTAGGTATGTGCTCATAAAACAGGTAGAGTTCAGAGTATAGAATGTTCGTGTGAATTTTAACTCATCTTCTGGAAATACATTTCACTTTATAGTTATTTGACGCAATTAAAAATTTATGAATATTACCATATCAGTAGTGGTATTAGCACCATTTCCTTTAGATGAAAATCGGATAAGGGAACTAGGAAACTTCTTGTTTTAATATTAAAAGATAAAGGAAGTAGGGAAATCAAGTTAAGTGGTTGGAAGTGAGAGAATTGAGAGAACATATTTGAACACAGTATGAAGAATATTGGAGCGAACACTCGCTTTAGATAACTTTGTGATATGGATCTACAGCTAATGATACAAAATTATCGTATTACACTAAATAAGATATCAAATTTGAATTGACTAGCGTTATAAGTAGTTTCACGTCGATTGAGTTTTTGATACTACAAAATACAAAAAACGTCGTTGGTCGTTAGAAAGATCATGTGCTTTGAGCTCCAATCAATAAATTAAAATAGTATATAACAATGTCGTACAGTGTTTTATTGCATAACTGTAAGCAAAATTTGCACCATGTTTGTTACTTTGTTCCATTTTGTGAATATGGATTCAGTAACAAAATCTATAGATTGATTTTTACTTAACTGCTAATTTGTTTAGTTTTTCGAAAGATAACAGTGCAGTCTCCTGATATTTTATGCTTTGTTACAAAACGATGGTTGAAGATCGAATGCACTAAATCTTTGGAGGACCAGTAACATAGTATTGAGTTTTCGAGAATAGTCTCGTTTGGCTATAATCTTGGCAGAAACATACTGTTGGCAGTAAAATGAAAGACATATAGTTTCAAATTTCAACTTATTAACGGTAGCTGATACGTTTATCACTGCGGCTGATTTTTGAAGCATCTAGTTAATATATAATATATATATATATATATATATATATATATATATATATATATATATATATATATATATATATATATATATATATATATATATATATATATATATATAGTATTTTTAACTATTTGCACAAATTATGTGGAATGCTATTAAATTGTTACACACAATCGTTAACAAATAAAACTGGAATTTTCACAGCAATACTTCAAACTTACTGGTTTCCTGAATCGCTGTATAAGAACATGTTCACGGCCATATAGTTCTAGGGTGATAATACTCATACCTGATGAAAAAATAATACTCGGTATTAAGATAATAATGAGTATCTTAGTAAGAGCATAACGTAACAATGAACAACAATAGGGAAGAAAGCACGTACATTCTACAGTTCAGTTCATTTAACAGAAATATGATGACGTGGAAAGTTACTTAAATAGAAAAATCGAAGAATGTTTCACGGTTTGTCAAATTTTTATGTCTTCGGATGATCATGGTTCGCACTTGTCTTACAGAGTAAAAGCACAAATGATCCAAATCTTTCAGATACAATTATATACTAGGGTAGAAAGTTGAGAAAAACATGAGATCGGCCAGTACTATAAATTTGTATTTTATTGGACAGTTTATTCAACGCCAGCAGGTTATTGATCATCTAGAAATATAAAACGATGTTCAGTCAACCACCGATAATGCACTTTATTTAATAACGTTGGTTGTGTTTGAAATACAGCTCTTTACCGATAAGTAATTCATAATTGTTTGATTTAAAATAAATTAACATCGAATTATACGATGCAACTGCTAGTCCAGATGAGATGACAATTAGTGTCATATTAGATAATAAACCTTAACGATTATTGACTCAAAGACCTAGTTGTAAATTTAGTTTGTCGTTGTTTATCAGTATATTTAGCGTCTCGGAGAGATTTTAAGCTTCTTAGAAATTATAGTCAACCTTATTCTACATTACACTCATACGTTGACAATGTACTGGGTGAGCTGAGATTGGTTTTTGCAGTGGTTACGGGTCCCAAAAGGAATAGGATTTTTTGGTTTTGAAATACATTTTTAAGGTGACTACCAGCAAAAATAATATTAATAATATGGTTTTCCGACTAAATACCTTTAGATACACATCTAGTTTTGTATTCACTTGGAGATCATAGCTGAATGACAGGAAACTAAGACCACTAAACCATAAAAAGAGGGGAATGTGAGGATAGAAACCACTCACCTGCATTCCTATTATGAATGGAATCTGGAAGCCATAGGTTTAGCATGAGCATGTACGGATATTTGGGTGTTAAGAGCTACAGACCATTCACAATTTATAACAAGAAACTAACAGATATTCCACTTTCAGAAACAGAGAAATTGGCTGTAGGAAAACTGCAAACGTTGGAACACCCCGTTCGTACATTACATTTAGTACTAAAATTGAAGTAAACAGACAAGGTGAAGGCTAGCATACTCAAACACCAAATCTAATTCTCTTTCCAATTTTACGGTTGGAATGTAGGTTTGGTATAGGAGAATAAACACCATAACTCCATACGCAAAAGTCACTATTTCAATCATCAAAAATAACAGAACATAGTAGATAGCCTTCCATGGTATTGAAGATAACCAGGACGTATCGTAACCGATTTTACCAAGCATTAGAGTACAATATATTATCGCTGAAAGTGAAAAATTAGTTTATACTTGATACTGAAACACATGTTTTTAATACAATAATCATAGACCACAATCTGTATTGAAAATTACCATATCAGGCAAATCAGGAATAAATTTTAACAATGTTTATTACTAGGAAATTCATAGTGATTAACAACAGTTATTTCAACTACTTGCTAAAATAATTAAGAAAAGTATATCGACACACTTTACAAATATTTCTTACAATTAATCCATAAGCTGCAACATGGAAAAAGATAGAAGTCAAAAGTACAGGCTTACCAATAACAATATCCCCTTTTCATCCAAAACTTCCCCCATAATCAGAAGAGACTAATCCCATGTAGGGTCGTATACTATTATTGCTAAGCTCCGCCTTAGGATGGAACATACCCGGAGCTATTTAATATCCACTGGTTTTCCAGCTGACGCTAGTGTACGATATATACCATCTTCCAATAGCACTGATTATTGTATCTACCCATAAGTTATGGATAATTTGGTCAGATATTTCGAGACATTTGTCTAAAGTTGTTAGCCGGTTATTAGAAAGGAGTACATTGGTCCACTTGGTTAATATATATTTACTTTAACAAGCATGAAGTCTTAAGATCTGACCACAGTAACTGTTAGAACAGTAGTCGCTTATACTGGAACCAGGTGAGTAATGCAGAGGCTGGGTGCAGAAGGATAGTTAAAGGTGATGAAATGACTGGCGAAACTGTAGACGTTCATCCACTGGGTGGTTGATATAGATCAATAAAGTGCCATTCCATGATATCGCACTATTAAACCAAATTATTTCAACAGATGTAGACTATCTGATTGTGGTACATAGGATCATCGTGATCGCAGTGGAGAGCATATGTCATTTACTTATCTTTCTCTGAGTTACAAATTTTGTTTTTCATTACCAACAAAATTCTTACTTCCAATCCCCTGGCTAATTTTTTTTTACAGTGTAGCGACTTTAGCATTAAGGTTTTTCGCAAACTTGCACTTTTTCCCTTAAGTAAATAAGTAACGTTAACAAGACATGGTTCCTAATGGAAATACTACAGAAGTAAAGAGACATTCTTCAATGCTTGTATGTATGAAGAATAATGGTTACTGAATTATGAATACCAAATACGTTTGTTCAATAGAGTAACATATCAAATAACTGCGGTTCATTCACAAGATCCAATAGTCAACTCTTTATAATGTACGAAGGCTTATAAATGTGACAAGTAAACTTAAATATTAACACTGTTTGACTTGATTTTGTGAAATAAATTTCTGGTAGTAGCACTTTATGTTCAGGTGTACGAAGATGTAGACAAGTATGACACACTTTCGTGAATGGAAGTCATAAGTAAAGGATGAAGTATTTACTCTGAATTACTTTTTTGAGAGGCATTCAGCACTTCGAAAAATAACTTTTTATGCATGTCAATATACAGGGGGTTGCTAAGGTGAAATTATATTGTTTTCGAAAAAAGTACTCCGATAAGTAATATGTTCAGAATCCAAAATCTATGACAGCAACATCCATACTTAGTTCGTAGTATCCTGTTCTACCGTACTTGTTATAAAACAATACTTAGTTGATTTTTCAGGAACCGAAACCGGTGGATATGGTAAAGATGCACACGTTTTTGGTGGACCGAATGTAAAGTAAAACGGTTAGGTTGGTTTATTTCTACTAACTAACACATTACAGAAACAGGTCAAATTTCCAATATTGAAGTCCTAGAGCAGCCAAGATTTTGGTTTTTAGATATTATCGTTTACGTCCGACTGAGTATTATGACTGTGCTAGGTCTCTGGCAAAGGCCATGAGATGAAGTTCGAATATGTGATCGCAAAGACGCCACATTGTAAAATGAAGCAGTAGCAGCTTAGAATAAGTGAAATACTTTAAATATAGGTTCATAGGCACGTAAATGCTGGTCTGATAAAATACCAACTTACACGAATCACGCGGTCGACTCTGTAGAAAATAAACGCTCAAAAGGATTGGCAAATCGAAGATCAGAAGGTTCTTCATTTTAAAATGAAGAAAAGAGTTCATGAATCAAGAAACACTGCGAAGAAGGAAACTTACTACTTCGATAATTAAGTATGATCTGACACCTTGGACACTAGATGCAAAATGTTAACACTAAGAACTTAGGTATCAAAGACAAGATGTTGAAAAGTTGAGGGGTTTCTATTTGAAAAAAGACTTCCAATCTCCCAAATTCAAAGGAAATTTTACCAGTTCCTTGTGAAGTCGATCTAGAAAACTTAGGGGGATAAGACGAGAACTCCAGGGCTTCCCTGGTCCGAGATTTTCCCACAGAATTTCAAGCTATTTAAGGTAAATACTCAAGAGTTTTGGTCCTTACCAAAATTCCCACAAACTTCGGAAGAGACTACGGATTTCGATGTAAACTTGTGGTAAATCTCAAAATTTATCTTAAGTTCCGCAATTTTTCGAAAATCCAGATATCGGGCTTGAAAAACAGACCACAGAGAACCTGGATAAACTTTCATTCGCTTTACTATATTTAAGGATCATCTCGTAAATTTACTAGCTATAATACCTTGCATAAGGTCAAATACATTTTCTGCAGAAAATCAAACAACAATTGGATACTATATAGTATCCAATATTTACCTTACGCTTAAGGTAAGTATGTGGATATTAAAAAAATCAACCTATTTATACACTACTGTTGAGTTTCGCATAATTACAGGTAACTTTTTTTACAAGTAAGTTATTATGCTTTGATTACTTGATTGCGCTCAGGTGTTTTCGAATAGTGCGCCGCCAATGCAGCAACGCCTCAACGGTATCGTCCACTGATGGAGGTTGCGGAGCACTTGAAGGTCAAACTGTAGTAAAATGATTGAGGCCTTGGCTCGATAATTCGTGAAATTATGAAGTAGTGGTCAAATCAAGACATTTTTAGATTTGAATAAAGTTCGAGAATATTATGTGTCATAACGTCAATCCTTCAAGTAACGAAGATGATGCCATCGTGATGACGCATGATATAGGACGAACCTTCAGATTTCAGACTCAGATTTGTGTAGTAAGGACAGAAGAGCTACGGCCTATGTTATTCGTTGTCTAATATGCATCTGTGACTGTCCCGTCTTCTCTTGAAAGAGTCAATTGAAGGTGCGGACACCACTGCTTCGGGCAGCAGGTTCCAAGTATTGATGACTCGGTGTGAAAACCTGTATGTCATGGGTATTTTGTCCGTTCTTGGCTTTTCTACTCGCCTGCTATGTCCTCTGAGATGTCCCGATCTAGTGGGAAGAAAAAGAGAGAATAAGTTAGGTCCGAAATCATTTCTCAGTATTCTGTACATCAAAATCAGATCTCCCCTTAGTCTGCAGTAGGACAGAGTAAAGAGGTTCAGCTTTTCAAGCCTCTCTTTGTATGGTGAACCCCGGAGTTCTGGAATTGCACGGGTAGCTGCTCTCTGTACTTTTTCTAGGATATCCGAGCCACCTTTTAAACAGGGGCTTGCATCCTGAATGCAGTTCTCAAACTTAGTTCTCACTAAGGATGTGTATACTATGGTGAACATGATAGTATCTAACTTAGTGAATGTTCGTCTTAAAGCCCAGAGGGTTCAAAACCCCTTAGCTGCGACCTCTCGGCAATGGGCCGTCGTCTTAAGATCATGACTCAATGTCATCCTTAGATCCTTATGAGACTGGACTACGGGTAATGGCACTTCTCCTATGTTTTAACTATTAACCTTGGAATTCCCAAAGTGCATGTGAACACACTTTGCCGCGTTGATAGGCATCAGCCACTCTTTAGACCAGTTCATCATGTTATTCAAGTCTTCCTGAAGAACACATGCGTCTGTCTCTAGTTTACATCGTCAACGTATAATAACATTGGAGACTGTACTATACTTGGAAGATCATTAACATACATTATAAAAAGTAAAGGACTAAGGACGGAACCTTAAGGTACCCCACTAAGTACTGGTTTCCAGATGGAGCACTTGGAATTTATTCTAACTTTCTGTCTACGACCTACTAGGAAATCCTTAGTCCAATTTAAAAGAGGTCTGGAAATATTAGGGTTTTCGAACTTCAATAGCAGTCTATTTGTTGGCACCTTGTCAAAAGCCTTACTGAAATCTATGTAGACAACATCCACTGAGTCTCCGTCGTCTAGCGCATTTATCCAGAACTTTCTTGCTATAAGGAGGTTCGTTTTACAAGATAAACCTTTCCTAAAACCATTTTGTTCCATGTTTATCAAGTTATTGGTTTCCATAAATGCTATTATGGTCCGTTTGACTATTCTTTCCAATATTTTAACTATAACACTGATGAGGCTTACAGGTCTGTAATTCGATGGAACTTGTCGTGAACCTGTTTTATGTATGGGAGTGACGATTGTGTCCTTCCAGTCCATAGGTAACACACCTTGGCCAAGTGACATATTGAATATCACAGTCAGTGGGGCCGCGATATATTGTTCAATATGTCTCAAGATTTTGGGATGTACTTCATCTGGTCCTGTTGACTTTTCCATGTTTAAATTGCTAAGAGCCTTAAGCACATCTTCTTGATCGAAGTCCACGGTGAGCAGCTAGTTTGTTGACCATGTATTTTGGTCTGATTCTTTGTCTAGAGGAGGTTCCTGAGTGAAAACTGCCCCAAAATAGTCAGCCACAGCCTCTGCTTTTTCCTGATCTTCCTCTATCATTTCAGTTTCACTTCCTTCTTTCATTAGGTTGAGAATCCAATAATGCGTCCTTGTTCTGTAGTTTATATACGAGAATATTCTCTTAGGCTGCTTGAGTGCAGATTGTATCAATTGCGTTTCATACTTTTTCTTCGAGCTTCCTGGGCTTTAATTATACACGTATTTCTTACCGATCTGTAGCGTTTCTTAGTACCCGCTGTGTCAAGGCTGATAGCAACATTCAAACATTTATTCTTTTGTCTTAGTAAACGTCAAATATCCCGGGCTATCCAGGGATGGCCGTGCTTCTTCTTATCTGGGACTGTCCAGTGTATGTATGGTTGAGTTACCCGGTTGTAAATCTGCCTGAAAAAAGTCCATGCCTCTTGTACTGATGCCCTTGAGTCTGTTTCCAAGATTTAGCCAATGCTGCGGAGTTGATTGCCTCTATATCTGCATTCCATAAGTTAGAACGGATGTGCGCAACTGTTTGACAGGTCATCTCGGCCATGAATTGGAATAATATGACTGCATGATCCCTTCACCCTGGTAGTGGGAGGAAAGTTATTTTACCAACGTCATCACCGTATGTGAAGACTAAATCTAAAGGAAAAGAAGAGTTTCTTAAGTCATATCTGGTTACAAAACCAGTCAACTGAATTTCATTATATAATACTTCTGATGTTAACCAGTAGGGCTGATAGATTGAACCGTAGAGGAGGCGCGGTTATTCTGTACACGAAAAGTACCCTAACCATAAAATTAGTTGAGACAGTAGCACATGTTTCAGATACATGTGAACTGGCGTGATGCAAGCTGAAATGTCGACGGCAAGACGTTGAATTAGTTGTAGTATATCGAAGTCCAGAATGTGTAGCAGATGATTTTCTCCTAAGTAAACTTAAGCCCTGTTGTAGCAAGGGTAAAAGCCTTGTAGTAGGCGACTTTAATGCACCGTATATAAACTGGGTTAACTTAGAAGTAGGGTCATCGATAACGTCATTCGATTGCAAACTGTTAGAAACCTCGATTGGATTAGCTTTATTCCAACACATTGGAAATCTCACAAGATATGACTTAAGAAACTCTTCTTTTCCTTTAGATTTAGTTTTCACATACGGTGATGACGTTGGTAAAATAACTTTCCTCCCACTACCAGGGTGAAGGGATCATGCAGTCATATTATTCCAATTCATGGCCGAGATGACCTGTCAAACAGTTGCGCACATCCGTTCTAACTTATGGAATGCAGATATAGAGGCAATCAACTCCGCAGCATTGGCTAAATCTTGGAAACAGACTCAAGGGCATCAGTACAAGAGGCATGGACTTTTTTCAGGCAGATTTACAACCGGGTAACTCAACCATACATACACTGGACAGTCCCAGATAAGAAGAAGCACGGCCATCCCTGGATAGCCCGGGATATTTGACGTTTACTAAGACAAAAGAATAAATGTTTGAATGTTGCTATCAGCCTTGACACAGCGGGTACTAAGAAACGCTACAGATCGGTAAGAAATACGTGTATAATTAAAGCCCAGGAAGCTCGAAGAAAAAGTATGAAACGCAATTGATACAATCTGCACTCAAGCAGCCTAAGAGAATATTCTCGTATATAAACTACAGAACAAGGACGCATTATTGGATTCTCAACCTAATGAAAGAAGGAAGTGAAACTGAAATGATAGAGGAAGATCAGGAAAAAGCAGAGGCTGTGGCTGACTATTTTGGGGCAGTTTTCACTCAGGAACCTCCTCTAGACAAAGAACCAGACCAAAATACATGGTCAACAAACTAGCTGCTCACCGTGGACTTCGATCAAGAAGATGTGCTTAAGGCTCTTAGCAATTTAAACATGGAAAAGTCAACAGGACCAGATGAAGTACATCCCAAAATCTTGAGACATATTGAACAATATATCGCGGCCCCACTGACTGTGATATTCAATATGTCACTTGGCCAAGGTGTGTTACCTATGGACTGGAAGGACACAATCGTCACTCCCATACATAAAACAGGTTCACGACAAGTTCCATCGAATTACAGACCTGTAAGCCTCATCAGTGTTATAGTTAAAATATTGGAAAGAATAGTCAAACGGACCATAATAGCATTTATGGAAACCAATAACTTGATAAACATGGAACAAAATGGTTTTAGGAAAGGTTTATCTTGTAAAACGAACCTCCTTATAGCAAGAAAGTTCTGGATAAATGCGCTAGACGACGGAGACTCAGTGGATGTTGTCTACATAGATTTCAGTAAGGCTTTTGACAAGGTGCCAACAAATAGACTGCTATTGAAGTTCGAAAACCCTAATATTTCCAGACCTCTTTTAAATTGGACTAAGGATTTCCTAGTAGGTCGTAGACAGAAAGTTAGAATAAATTCCAAGTGCTCCATCTGGAAACCAGTACTTAGTGGGGTACCTTAAGGTTCCGTCCTTAGTCCTTTACTTTTTATAATGTATGTTAATGATCTTCCAAGTATAGTACAGTCTCCAATGTTATTATACGTTGACGATGTAAACTAGAGACAGACGCATGTGTTCTTCAGGAAGACTTGAATAACATGATGAACTGGTCTAAAGAGTGGCTGATGCCTATCAACGCGGCAAAGTGTGTTCACATGCACTTTGGGAATTCCAAGGTTAATAGTTAAAACATAGGAGAAGTGCCATTACCCGTAGTCCAGTCTCATAAGGATCTAAGGATGACATTGAGTCATGATCTTAAGACGACGGCCCATTGCCGAGAGGTCGCAGCTAAGGGGTTTTGAACCCTCTGGGCTTTAAGACGAACATTCACTAAGTTAGATACTATCATGTTCACCATAGTATACACATCCTTAGTGAGAACTAAGTTTGAGAACTGCATTCAGGATGCAAGCCCCTGTTTAAAAGGTGGCTCGGATATCCTAGAAAAAGTACAGAGAGCAGCTACCCGTGCAATTCCAGAACTCCGGGGTTCACCATACAA